TATATATATATATATATATATATATATATATATATATATATATGTGTGTGTGTGTGTGTGTGTGTGTGTGTGTGTATGTTTATGGATTATCTATTTGTGGTCTTATACTTTGCATTTGTTACATCACAAAATAAAAAGTAGTTTTAAAAAAGAATTTCATATTTTGTAAATTAAAACTGTTACTGATCCTCTCTTTAAATAGCTGTAGTAAAACCAAAATTTATTTACTCTCTAACTTCCTCATCACCTTTTATATTTTATATAGCACTTGTTCAGTCTGGCTGTTTCCCAGGGGTCAAACATATCAGTGAACTTAGAGTTAAGTGTGTTTGAATAACCGACAGAAAAACATGTATTGACTACTAGCTGTCAACTTACCTTCAGACTGTGAAACATATGTCCTCTTTTACCAGACAGAACTAATCGGACAAGATAAACCTTGTGTTAGCCTGTATCCTCAAAGGTAACAGTAAGGACAGGAGGGATTAAAACCCTGGAGGGAGAAATTGTCTGTTTGTACAGTTGTGTGATGCTTGGTTTGTTTGTGGTTTATTGCATGGAGTACTTTGTGTAGCTGCAGAGAAACATATTTGTTATCATTTCAATAAATATGATCCTGTGGCCATAAACCCATTCTCTGCTTCAATTATTTTAATTTATATAATGCATTAAAAGACACTGGCAGCTTAGCAAAAAGCTTGTTATGTTGCTTTTTAGAGAGAATGACTTTCATCTCATAAAATATAGTTAGGTAATATGCCTACTTTAGCAAAAACAATACTTTTGTTTTTGTTTCCCTTTCAGAGTAATAGAAAACCAACCTATATCTCATGATGAAATACCAGAATAAAGGATGAGATGGGATGGATGGAGCTAAAAGCAATAACAGTATAGATATGAAAGTGGTGTTAATTAAATAATTTGATTTCCTCAATGTTTTTTTAGGAAATAGACGTAATGTTGGTAATGGAATGTAAGCTTTCCCCAATTACTGGATTAATCATGATGTGAGGTTGTTCTTAAAGAAAAAAGATGGCTGGCAAATAAACAGCATCTTTACGTTTATCCATACATCAAGTTATCTCTTTGTTAAGAAACTGGAGGGGTACCTGCACAATGTTTACTTTAAAGAACGACAGATTTTTAAAGAAATAAGTCTAACCCACATCCCCCAAATAAAAAGCAATATAAGCATTTATTGCAGAAGTGCCAAAAATACACACTTATTATCTGGGAAAACCAGAAAACTTTACAATGAGACACTGCACACTGCTTCAGCGGCAAAGAACTGAGTTGAATACAGGAATTTTACTGTTAAAGCAACAATACTTTACTATTTACCTGAGGTATCAGAATCAATTCAAATGTTCTGCATGACTCCAAGCATCCAAAGAGGAACAGCAGCAGCAGCTGTGTTGGGAGTAGCTGAGGACCTGGCCTGTTCATGGCTTGGTTCCAAAGGGCCAAAGTTCAAGAAATCAGGGGAGAGCAGAAGAGGAATCGCAACAGCTGGATAGACATATTTAAACATCGGCTGGGAACACTGCCTCAGTGGGAGTCATCGTTTGGAGTAGCTTGAGCCGTTTGCCAGAGGATTGTGAGTAAGAACCAGCCTGACGATCCACATGTGTCAGTTTAAAGACTTATTATTAGAGCTGAGTTTATTAGTTGAAGGTTTAGTTGTATCCAGATTGCAGGAGAATGCTTAGTCATTTCAGCTGCTGTGCCTCATCAAATCTGTACACTCAACAGTCATTTATACATTTCTGATCCTTTTTCTTTTTGTCTAAGATGAAGCAAAAAGCTTTGATGTATTCTTTTCACAAATTATAGATCTATGAAAAGTACAAGCTTGATTTAAGCTTAAAGGAAACATTATAAGACAATAGACAAGTGATAGAAGAATAAGCTATGTGATAATTTTGTGCAGAAGTACAGTTTATCACTAGTAAAATCCCACACAGCCTATGAAACATTCTCAGCTACATATCATACAGTATATAACACTCAATTAGACATGCTAATGTAACTGATGGGTTCAAAGGTTCTCTGTTTCCATCGTTTCAGAATCAGACCAACAATGTTGCCAATAGTGATACCGGTAGTTTAATCAGATCTACTTGTATGCTTCGTGCATAGATGGAAATTTCAAAAACAAAAAAATATTCTGTTTTTTTTTTTTTTTTTTAGCAGCTAAATACAATTGATATATTTTATGTTTTATTGCAGCTGGTTACAATACATCAGTTTAACCCTTATGTCATCCATTGATAAGTGATTTTGTGGAAATAGCTGTGCAAAAACCTTTGCAGAAGGAGATCATGCAATAAGTTACTGCTATTTTTTCTGTTACTTTCTACCACTACATCATCTGCAGCATAATCTGAGTGTGTAATGATTATCTGCTTAATATGCTTTCCTCATAAGGACTGATCTAACTGCATGGGTTAGTAAATGAGGTCACTAAATGTCATTTACCTCTCTGTGGAAATCTGTCTCTCTCTGGGTCTCCTGTGGACCATATCTAGAGAATGTTTACTTTCTGTGGTGATATGTAGTGCTATCGGCTGTTTGCATTGTTTTGTTTTAACTATAGATATCTGGTTAGAAGGTAACTATAGTTTAAACCTTATCAAATGTTCAAGAGTAAAAAAAAAAAGATGCAGTTCAGATGCATTTGTATTGTGCACAAAGTCTAGACGTAGAGCTCAGCTTTGCAGTAATATCCCAGCACTCTGCATGATGTAATTCATTTGTATTGTTTTAATCCATTATAAGCAGAGATCGATCTTTGCTGTCGGCCCTAATATTGTCTTCATTATGACCTCTGCTGAGCCCCCTAACGGAATGTGGCATCGGAAAACCAACACTCAGCGGCAAGGTGCCAAATCCAATCAAGGTATGCTGAAAATGTGACATCTATGAACTTATTTGGCATTTTGATTCAGTAATGAAGGAAATATAATTTGTATAGATTCTTCAGTGGTTTCCATGCCAGTAAATCCTGATGCATTCACTTTCCTAAATGGTGGCATGTCCAATTGCTGAAGTGCTGAATACACAACCTTCTATTACCTCTTCCAGTTTTATTAATAGGACACACTGTGTATTGTTAGGCAAAGTAAATAATCTGAGCAGGGCTATTTCTTTCTTTCAGCTGAGAGTCATGAAAATGTGAAGGACGATCTTATCGAGTGGGAAAAATACACAAAGGTAATTTGGTAGTATATGTTGTTCAATTTAAACAGAAATTAATATTTTGACTAGATGCTATAATTCCATTTGGGGGGTTTATAACAAAAAGCCTAATAAGGAAATGGAGGTGTGTTCCAGATATAATATTCAACTGCATTCCATAAACTGGGGGGAAAAAAAGTAAAATCTTTTCTTTTTTCTGTTTGTAGAAACTAAAGACGAAAGTTTTAGAGCAGGTCCAGGATCAGCTCAGAGACATTCTTGACAAAGCTCTGACTGAGTCCATCGAGCCTCCCGCCCACATTCAAGCTGCACTGACTGGGAAAACAACAAAGAAAGATTCGCACAGGTGCAATGGATGTACACACCGCTGTAACACATGGATCTGGAATAGAGATGCTGCGATTACTAACTTGCTCAAGTGCAATGGATTTAATTAGATAATGTCTGTGGTTTGTCTCAGATCTCAAAGGATGGATGATGGCAAAGTGTTCATGGAGAGAGCGTCACTGTTGGAGTGAGTTACAACACAGCAGAAACAGATCTGTGTCAAGACCATCTTACAAAAGCAACTAATACAGATATATGTCCATTGATATATACATGTGTTTGTTATAGATTTACAATAAAAAATATGAACCTTTTTCCTTTTTTATGCAAAAAACTCTCACTCAACAGTAGTTGTTTAGTTGTAGTAAGTCTCAGCGTTTTGGATTTAATTCCGGCTTCCTTATGCGATGTGGATGAGACACTTTAACCTAAAGTTTGCCAAAAGTTCCTGATGGTATTTTGCATTTAATATAGATTGATAAACATTGTGTTGATATTTTTAGATCTTTTTTTGTGTGTTTTCTTCTCTTTCTCAGTGAACTGTTTGAAATCAGCCACATTAGGACCATCTACCACATGTTTATTGCTGTGCTCCTCATCTTCTGTATGAGCACCTTGGCTGTTGACTACATTGACCAGGGCAGGTATGTGGTAACATTCATTGTACAAGCAAGGGATAAATTAATGAAAATATTATCAGACTGCTGCAATACTGAGGGGTTTAAATAGAGGCATAAAACATCTAAACTTTTTTTTCTCCAGCCAGAGTTGGTAAATAACAATGATTTGAAAAAACAATGGGAAAGCAACCTTGTTTCAAAATCAACTCTGCAACTTATTTCTCCTGCTGTGGTGAACATACCATTCATATTACTTTCCTTTCCTTGAAACCATTTAGTGATCTGTACGTTGGTACTGTCAGAAGGCTTTATCCATTTCAATTTTACTTGTACTCTGTTTCTAAGAAGCAACAAAGAAACAACAAAATCAGTTTTAGAGATCATTGAAAAATGTCAGCCCTGTAATGTAATTTTGTAATGAAACGTTTATTCAGCAAATATCAAGCAAAGGCCTGACATGGAATTTGCAGCATTAACTGCATCCTCCATCATTCAATCATCTGTTGTAGATTAAGTTTTAATTTAAAGATATTAAAAGATAATTACCTTATTAGTGCAAAAGAAGCAAATGTATCTATCTAACTATGTTAAACTTTGTAATCTTAATGTTACCTGTAAATCAACATTCGTTTTGTAAATGTTTTTTTAAGTTGTACCTGCAATAACATTAAGCGTCTTTTAATGCCAGAGCAATTCATAGTTATATAAGTTATCTATCTTAGGGGGAACATAATAGGAAAATATAAAATACCAATTAAATTTCAATAACCTGGATAATAGCTTAAAAGCGCCATAAAGCCAGGGGGGATATTCATAAACAGTACATTAGAATAGTTTAACTATCAGAATCAAAGTTACTTTATTAATCCCTTGATGGAAATGATTAAACTATAGCTTATTTAACTATAGTTCCCAATGAAAAAAAAAATCATAAAAGTGAAAATATTTCAGGGACTTAATAGTGAAATTAACCTTATTCGTTATATATGATGCATTGATTTGATCTTAAAGATGACAGCAGTGTTATATATGACCAATGGAAAAATCCTTACTCCTTCTATTTAGCCCATATAAGATCTTCTGATGTCATGTATAGTATTGGTGTGGCTGGAAGTTGTAGCTTATATATCTGTACTGAATACATCCGAGTGTGGCACCTCCTCAAGTACTGAGTCTAATCTCAGTTCATTCCTGAACTATAAATGGGCTTTGCTTTTCAATCCTTCCAACAGACTTAGCACTGTTCATCTTTTTCTTCCACTGCTTCCCTTCCTTCCAGCTTACAATTTTCATGTGTGTGTACAGCAATATACAAACAACAGCTTCTTTGACCTTTTCTCCGACTGTCTAATGTGCACATGTCCACTTAATGTTTCTATAGTAAAAATAATCTTTTTGTCCTCTATAGGACAAAAGGCAGAAATATGATACCCATTGTATATTGTATTGCCATTTTTTATAGTGAGCTCACTCCTGCTTAGAGAAAAAAATCATTTTAATGCTCCTTTTGTTTTGAGAAATTATCATTGATCTCTCTGAAGTATGTAGTGCTTCAGATTTATTCCACGAAAATTGCCTCGACAGCATCAGAGAGCCTCATCTCTTTACCACAGCAGGAAATGAATTCAGTTTTTCCTTTTATTTCACACATCTAAGCTTTTCTATGGATATAGAGGTTTATGGTCGTTGCGCTGTAACGTCTTAAACTCTATAACCCTGTAACAATTCCAGTGTAACTCATTTATTCCCTGAAAACGTCCTAATCCACTTGTTTCTTTGTTTTCCCTCATTGTGTCTCTCGTGGCTTCCTTCGTCACTCCCTATGTTCATCTGGAATGGATAATCAGTCCTTCCAAGTATTCCTCCTAATGCTTTTGGCCGCTCACTAATCATTTTATTTGTTATTTTCAGCTATATATCTTTGTTTTCCCTCCAAACAAGCACATAAAATGTTTACTTTTGATTTAAATGTGGATATACTGGCAAAATAAAATAAAAAAGAGATGGTTCTCCAATGTAATTGTGCTCATTTTGACCAAAAAACTGGGATGCTGGAATAAAAGTTATTTTTTTATAAGTATTTTGTACTTATGTTTCCACAAATTAGAGAAATATACTTAAACTCTTTAGCTCTTCTTGTACTTTCCAGATTTTCTTAATCAAGATAATTTCAATAATAAATAAATCTAAAGCAGAAACTATGCTTGTTAGACTTTTTCTCTTTAAACTTAAATGAACAGGTTATATTCTTCTTGTCTGACTTAATCTTTATGATCTTTGCTGTCTTTTTGTTATTTTTTTTGGCCCACTTTCAGGTTGGTTCTGGAGTTTGACATGTTGTTCTACGCCTTTGGGAAACTGGGGACGGTCACCTGGGCCTGGCTCGCTATGTTTGTTTACACCCTCTTTGTCCCGTACTACATCCTGGAGTTTTGGGGTTCTCTGTACCACAAATTCCCCTCCAAGTTGGGGCTCACTCTTGGTGCAGGGCTGATTCTTACTGCCATACAGACCTGTGTTCTTGGACTATTCCCAATCTACACGGTTGTGCATCACCAGCTGCCTCCAGCATCTCGCTTCATCGTGATACTAGAGCAGGTAAGTGTGTGAAGGTTTTGAGCATTAATTCATTACAAAGAGTAATTAAGTAAACTCAAACAAGCACTTTATCAATGTTTCCAGGTAATGCTGCTATCTTGTTTGAAAATGTACACATGCCTCTATTTGTAATGTCATTAAATTTCCCCAGATTCGATTCCTGATGAAAGCCTATTCGTTCATTAGAGAAACGGCCCCCGTTATCCTGAAGAACACACCAAAGGAAGGTAATGTACCGTACTGTTTCAGTGTCAGGTGTATTTATCCAGAGGCTGTACAATTATTCACAGTGACACTCGAAGAAGCAGAAGAAAAATGACTGAAACAGAACAGAAGGTTACTGAGAAAATAGCTGCAACCAACGTTTCAAACTTATAATGAAAACAGCAGTACATATACATTAGTGCTGCTGCTGCTGATGCTGCTCCATGCACTGTTCAAAACGCTAATTATTATAAGTAAAACAACTGCAACAGTAGAATAAATATATAATTATATATATATATATATATTTTTTTTTTTTTTTTTTCATAGATATATAAACATATAGATCTAAAAGTATAAAGAAAATCCCACAGCTATCAAAGACAGATGAAAAGAAGTCCGATAACTAAAATTAACTTGCATACACGCAATCAAATAAATACATTCCTCTCTATATTTTCTTGTTTTTCAAGAAATTAGTTAATCATGCTGTTGTTACTGGGGATAGAGAAGAACAACCCAGTTTACAGGCCGGTTGCAAAATCCATAATAAGGAGCATTATAAAGGCTTAAAGGGACCCTAACATCACCAAAGAAAAATGTCCAACCAAGAATGCAATTTAGTGATTGATGTGGAAATAGTCTGTAGAAATTTTGTCTTATTGCAGTAGTTTGGAAAACTTTGAATAAGACATCCTACAGAGGGATTTAAAGCCATGTTCTGGAGTAATAATAAACATCACCGACATTTTAGGGACATAGGATGTTTATAGCTAAATGCTTGCCATAGTATATGTTTTTGTTGCTAACAAGAAGCCAAATAGCCATTTAACACATTCCCATACAAAGAGTTTTTAATAATAATAATAATTATTATTATTATTAGTAGTAGTGTTGGTAGTAGTAGTATCATTTTTAAATTACAATTCTAGCAAAAAAAATCCTCCAAAGGCAGTACATATATTGGAGAAAAAACAAGGTTAATAACATGATCCGGTAATGAGATTAGCTCTGAAATCCCAGAATAACTTGATGAATAAACTAAAAAGATAAGCATCCATCCATTATCTGACACGCATCCATCCATGCATCCATCCATTATCTGACATAGGCATTACATCTTAAGTTTGCTTTTATGACTTAAAGATGTTCTCATTAACAGTTCTGTTCCAATGAGAGGGACGTAATATTTGTGCATTATTGCCAACAACCAAGGTTTTTGGTTTTTTCAAAAGATATATCTAATTAGCTGATATTGCTGAACTTTAAGTCTGCCAATTTTAGTGACATTAACTGTATTGCATTTTCTCTTTCAGGAGAAAAACCCAGGTTTCCAACATTTTCCAGCTACCTGTATTTCCTTTTCTGCCCAACACTCATCTATAGGGAATTCTACCCTCGGTAAGAAGAAAAGCAAGCATTTTATGAAATATAATTTTTATGACGGACGGACGGACGGACAGGCAGACAGACAGACAGACAGACAGACAGACAGACAGACAGACAGACAGACAGACAGACAGACAGACAGACAGACAGACAGACAGACAGATAGATAGATAGATAGATAGATAGATAGATAGATAGATAGATAGATAGATAGATAGATAGATAGATAGATAGATAGATAGATATTTTTGCATTTCTAATAGCCTGTCTTTTAACTGCAGAAATAAACGAATACGTTGGGAATATGTTGCTGTCACTATTGGCAAGGTAAGAAGATGACAGTTTAAACGTTTAATGAATAATAGATAAGAATATGTAATAAATTAAGGAGGTCAACTTGAGGTCATACTTTATAGACAAGTAAAAGTCTTGTGTTTGTATAGTTTGATAATAGATCAATTAGATTAAACCAACAGTCTTTCAGCTTTGGTGCAACCCTGTATTTTCTATTATTTGGACTCATTTGCAAGAATTTGTGTCTAACTGTATTTTTTGTTTAAAATCATTATAGATTTTTGCGTGCCTGTTTTATGGATACTTCGTTCTGGTCCGTCTTTGTATACCCGTCTTCAGACCAGAGACCAACCAACCTTTTAGCAAAAGAACAATGGTTCTGGCTGTATTTCACTCCATATTACCAGGTATTTTATTGCATAACATTTACACATGAAAAAAAAAACTTGAATATTGTGCTGAAGGAACATAATGAATATGCAATTAATCTCAGAACTTAAATGTTCTTGTTTCTAGCATCCAGTATCTCCAGTGAGTTTGTAGTGAACAATAGATTACGTCCTATTAAATGCACTCTCAAGTGTGTTTAAGTCAGTGTTAAGATTAAAGATGCTATCAAAAAGCAGATACAAGTAATTAAAGGTTGGCTGGTTTATTACAACCGTAAAATTAAAAAGCTTTTAGAGTGCTGATGTTAAAAGATAGGTATTAAGTTACAATTCCTTTTTATGTTGCCTGAGAGCAGGGCCTATTTCTTGGTCTTCTCTTTTTTGTGTTTCAGGAATAATGCTTCTCCTGCTGTGTTTCTTTGCCTTCTTGCACTGCTGGCTCAACCTCTTTGGGGAGCTGTTGCGTTTTGCTGACAGGATGTTCTACAAGGTGTGTGAGACTTGATTTCTTGTCACATCCCTTCTCCTGGGGTAGCAGTATTGGCAAATCAGTTTCATTTTCCTTGTGGGAACAATCAAATTGATTAAAAAAGGGATATTGCAAACTCTGCTTCAGAAATTTTCAGCATATTAACAGCTTTATTCATACAGGTAAATATTAATGAGGTAACACTTGAGGCATAAGAGAAAATTTTTTTTTGAGTCTGCATCATGCATGTAAACGAGCAAGAGTTACTTAGTATAAATATTCAATTAAAAGTTGCCTAACCTAATTAACTAATCTTTAAATTTATTTACACAATATATATCCTCATAAGTTTTGCTTTTAAACTTAAAGAGCCATATTTTAAAAGCAAAATCCAATTAAGAACATGCTAAACATACTCTGACTCAGAGTAAATGTCACATTTACGTATGGTATCAGAAGACAAGGTTTCGGTTAAGGAGGTGTTGAAAGAAAGTAAATAATGACACTGAGGCAGATAATTATATTTGGTGTTGGTACCATATATTATGTGGAAACAAGAAAAACAACAATCAATAACAATAGCCAAAAATTTTAACAAGCTGCAGAAAAAAATTGTTTTTGATATAGTGCACTTTAGAAAATTCCTTGAGTTCCTTGGCTTTGCTATGCCATCCTTATACTTCCCTTATTTGAGGTGACATTCCGGTAAAAAACTATAAATTCCTTTAGCTCCATTTGGATTTGATGTGAGATGCCAAACATACAGTAGGGCAAGATTGTGTTGCATAGATTTGAAAAATTTTACAAATAAATTCTTGAAATTGTCATGTGCATACAGTATTCTAGCATCATTACTATGATACTCCTATATGAAATGCATTGAAAACAATTGCTGTTACAAATACCCTATTTGTATTTAAAATTTTTCTGTCTGAGATTTATTCTTAACATAAATCCAGCTTTTCTGTGGTGGTTTGATAAAGAACATTAGTGAACGGTTTATCGGCTGCATCATGAAAAAAGAAGACCCCACTATAAAGGTGTGAATACATTTAAACAGGGTTGGGTTTAAAAGCACTATGCAGGGCTTTAACCTGAACTGAAAATGGAAAGTGTATGGCATACGCAAATCCCTTCATGTGGCTGAAAACTAATACATCACCTGCAGTTCAGTATGTGTGGCAGTGTCGTGAAGTTGGAATGCCCTTTTCTGCTCTGGGAAGGAAGCTGGTCACAGTTAATGGAGGGTTTGTTTGGGTTTAATACAGGGTAGTCCTCCAAGAAAAGAAAACTGTTAGAGGATGAAAGGGTGAATAATAAATTTTTGGCAAGAAAATGAAAAAAAGATGCAAAAAAAGCATTGGATGAAAGAGGTATGTGTTATAATATGCCACAGATCTCACCTGAGGAGTAGGCTAAGCATTACTTGATGACATGCTTCCAGTAGGCAGCACAAGCTATTAAAACTCTTTGATGTACAGTGATAACTCAGAACAAAAATCGTATAAACGATGTCGTTCAACATTTGTATCATGTACTAAGAGTTGAAATGTACTCCAGTCCATAAGAGATCTGACAGATAAATTTTCCATTTCCTGTCCCAGCATCTACTTTAAAGGCCACAGCTGAGCTGGTTTTCTTAACCTCAGCCAAAGATAGCAAGTGATTTGTTTTCTGTTATGGAAAATGTCTCTTTAAAACAGAGGAACCAGCATTATGTGGTTGCAGATAGAGGTTTTTTTTCCTGATTATCAGGCTTGTGAAAGTAATAAAATAAGTTTTCATTTTGCACATGACTCTAATGTGAAGTTGTAATAGATGGCATAGCATGACTTTCAAAATAAATTTCGCTGTAAAAGGCATTTAATTAACTATTCAAAGTTTCTTTAAAACTAATGCTCTGGATATTGAGGTTATTGCAGGTAATTACAAAAACATATATTTCAGCTCCAAGCATGACCTTTAATGTATTGAGCCATTTTATAGCTATGATTGATTTGAAATGTTCACACACATTCAAAGTGTTTTGCCTCTCTGCATACAAAACCTCCATCTACTGTATATGAAATCCTTCATATCCTTGTTGGTGATTAATTGCTGCCCTTTCATGTTTTAATGAGGTTTCAAAAAAAACTAAATTAAAAGTTTATTTGGTTTACTTCTGCTAAATTATTTTCGGTTTAACAGGACTGGTGGAACTCGACATCCTTTGCAAACTATTATCGCACCTGGAATGTCGTGGTTCATGACTGGTTGTACTACTACGGGTACAGAGACTTCCTCTGGGTGAGCAGATTGCCAATATAAAGGAGTACAACTAATGCAAAGCAGTAGGTCCCATAATAAAAAGCTATTTGGCATCTCTTTCCCTCTTCCTGCCTCTTTTTCTCTCTTTCCACAGCTCTCCAACAGAAGATTCAGAGCAGCAGCCATGCTGTCCGTGTTCATCGTTTCTGCAGTTGTCCATGAATATGCTTTGGCCCTTTGCTTCGGTTTCTTCTATCCTGTCATGTTCTGCCTCTTTGCAGTTTTTGGAGGTAAGGAGATTTACCTAATTGTGTGCTTAACATGTAGTAATAAAATCAAAATGTAGAATTAGAAAAATCTTTTGCTCTCCAATGTGTATTTCTTGACCTATTGCAAAATAAATGTTTTTTTCACTAATTATTCCAACACATTCAGAAGCAATCTGAGGACTTCTAGCTTTCAAAAATACATGTTCATTTATTGTAAATATTTCCTTTTTAATGGTGTTTAGAATTGTAACTCCTGATAATTATATTAGTCTTAAGATATAATATAATGCAGCAAAACGTTTCCGGGTTCGATTCCCAGCCCGGGGTCTTTTGCAAGGAGTTTGCATGTTCTCCCTGAGCATCTGTGGGTTCTCTCTGGGTACTCCACTTTCCTCCCGCAGTCCAAAAACATGACTGCTAGGTTAACTGGCATCTCTAATTTCTCCTTAGGTGTGTGAATGAATTGTTGTTTTTCCTGTTTGTCTCTGTGTTGCCCTGCAATGGACTGGCGACCTGTCCAGGGTGTACCCTACCTCTTGCTTATTGACAGTGGGAGATAGGCACCAGCACCCTTTGCGACCCCAGTTGGGATAAAGGGTGGCAGAAAAGGGATGGATAATATAATATATTAAAAAAATTGGATATAAATCCTTTATTTGGGCTGCTGTATTTTTAGATAAAGAAGGATGATTTAGAGCTAAGTCAGGGACTGAGTTAAAACTATGTTAGAACTACTTAAACTATGTCACAAGCAGCTTTCATGCTTTCACATCAACATGTAACCACAACCAAAGCATCTCATAGGACTGACTGATAGCTGACTGGCATGAAAAGATAAATGAAGCATAAAGTGAGCTGAATAAAATAAAAAGCTAATACTCAAACAAAGCATTACTGATTAACTGAAGTCCTTAACATCCACCATGTTTGTTTCTTTTAGTGGCTTTTAACTTTACGATGACTGATAAGAGACAGAGCCCGGTGTTCAACATCATCATGTGGGCGTGTCTTTTCCTCGGTCAGGGGGTTCAGGTGTGTCTGTACTGCCAGGAGTGGTACGCCCAGATCCACTGCCCACCCAGAGGGGTACGTACTCAAACTTAAAGTTCACTGATATCAACGTGTTTTATTTTTATTCTAATTATCATTGCATATATTACAGTATTAGAGTGTTGCCTCAGAATATTCAAAGAAGAAAGAAAAAAAGGTGTATTTTATAAAAGTAACACGGCCTTTCATAAGTTTCAGCACAATAAATGACTGAGCAATTTCAACATTATGATCTACGATTGCAGCATCATATTAGATTAATCAGTGTTAAAGTTTTCTCTCAGATAAGTTCAGGAAATAAATCATGTGATAGAGTTAAGAACGTGTCAGATAATACAATACTAAATCCAATTGAAAGATTTCTAAAGACAATAAAATTGTATATGTTCAAGTTTTACTTTTAATAAAAAGGTTTTTTAATTCCTTAAAAGTATAAGTGGCCTTATATGAGATAAAACATATCCTATTAAACTGATAAACACTTGAAAATGTTGGACGGGAGTTTTACACCAAAGGAGGCTATTTATCTAAAAATAAATCATCAAACTAGAACTTTGACCTCAACTTGAGATAAATAAAAAGTAGGTCAATAAACTCTGCATACAGACAATATTAACACTGGATCAAAGTGACTAAAAAAATCTACAATTGAAGATACAGCATGAAAACGAAAACAAATGTGGCCATATTATACATTACGCTGCAAACCCTGAAATAGATGTGTTTAATAACATAATAAAATACCTTTATTGCATGATCATCCAGTTTAGAAAAATCTAGAACTTAATCTAAAACATTTATTGCATAAGGATAAAAAGGACCTTATATAAAGAAATTTACATTTTTTATAAAATTGTATGTAACAGTAAACAGACACCCAATGCAAATACTTTGTATGAACAACTTTTTTTAGTTTAACACTACTACTAAGTCTGGAGCATAGAAAGATCCTGTAGAAAATCTGCACTGATTTTCTACAGGATCTACATGTTGCTTTTATATTTGTGTCAGTTGTCTTTCATAGGCAATTTGTTTTTTTTGTTGCTGACCTGGTATTTCAGATATATAAATGAAGCAATCCTCATAAATACGTTTTCCCAGGGCTATATTTACATTTAGTTTCACCCTAGGTCCACCTGGCATGTTTATATCTGAAAGGTTAATATTTATTTTTTTTATCACACAGTTCCATTAAAAATCAGTTAGCAAATGTTTCATCAGTAATAGGAAAGAAAATGGTTTATTTCTATGAAACAAAACAGATTAGATGAAGCATGAAATAACTAACTGCACTTTCTTTCAAGATAAACTTGCTTCTTTTTTTAACAAGGAGTTGCAACATTTTATTTACCTTGATATCATTACAGTATTTTTACATTTAATTGGGGTAATATGTTAATATTTAATTTGGGTACTGTAGACAGGTGCTATTTTAATAGCCATTTACAATCTACTCAAATCTGCCTTACTTAATGAATATGAAGATTCTTGGGGTTATAAATGAATAAAGCTGTTGGTCAGTAAGCAATGGGTTATTTGTCAACATGGTATAATTTCCCCCACTGAATCAGTGTGCTTAGTGTGGGTTTACAGTGCTGTGCCACATAACATGAATTATTTTAAGACTTTTCACCATTCTTAATAAAGGGGCTCCAATAAATGGGAATCTAGCGGTGAGACTCACAGTTAAGTTTAGATATACCTTATTAGAGCAAAATTGCTAAGGGAAAAATCAATTTCATCACCTTTTTTTCATTAGCCCCTGTCCCCTTGAGACCCAGAAGAAAAAAGATATTGTTGTTTGGACTCTTTTTGAAAGTTGAAGTACTAAAGCTTAAACAAACAGAATGCAACACTTTATTTTTCATTAAAAGTTTTTCCTTTAGGTTTTGTTAAATTTCTCTTACAATAGACTTGCCTGCTATTAAATAGAATGTAAAGGTATAGTTGAGGATTTTTGCAAATTTTTTAAAAGACCCACCCTCTACACTTAAAAAAAAATGCACATGCACAACCCTATACCCACTCCCGAGAGGGAACGCTCAGTGAATGCGTGTGAGAACGTGCACGAGCCCATTTCTCCTCATGCACGCTCCATTTAAAAGTTGCTGTTTGCATTGCCAATACAAGATACTTTCAAAAACAACATTTTCAATTTTTCCACTATGTCAGACTCACCACCAGTAAGTGAAAATTGGGGCACGCACGTAGGAAGTCCTTACGTAAACATATCATCAAAATGATTGACAATTAGGGGGACCACTTATTTTGATGATCCACATGGAAAAAGAACATCCTCCACTATACCTTTAAAGATTTAACAGAGGTATTTATTTAATCTATTCATTTTCTGAATGTTTCTTTTCTATTCACGAATATGTAAAAAATGTAGCTGAATGACAGTCAGTTTGCTAACGTGGACTATCCTGTGCTTGAGAAATCAGTCATTAAGCCTGACTTAATCAAGCTGTCTGTAGTGGACGTGTCAAAGACTTATATGACACAAACAGTGAAACCTCATATTGGGTTAAACCTGACCCAGGATAAAACAATCTGACATGTTTTTGTCGTACTTGCCTACTGTGGGTCTGAGCATATCAACATGGTTCCTCTCAGTTCATGACCATCTTCTGCATCTGTGTTCACCAAAGAGAAAGCCTTTCAGAGTGAACACAAACGCCAAAGGAATAGTAGCAGATGGGAACAATTCATGGGGATTTAACTTTTAGAACGCAAAGCCCTTTTTAATATGCTGGTGAAGATTTTCAGTCATCCAGAAAGAAAAAAAACTAACCTTAAACAGAGCGATTGGACTCTGGTCTCAGCTCTCAAAAACCTACAATGCAGCTATAGAGTTGATTCCTTCCTGCTATCATTTCAACCCCCCCACCCCCCTGCAGGGGAAAAATATATCTTGCCTGGACAGCCAAGCCAACATTTGCCCCTAACGACTCCCCTTTCAGAGACATAGCCAAGTATTGGGTATTGCAGGTTAACAAAGAACCCAAAACGACTCCCCATTCCTAAGGTGTGGATTTGCATGTTTTCAAAGCCAAAACAAGTTTTGTAAGTACAACTCAAAGCTAATTCTGACATTTTGATTAGAAAAAGCTTTATGGATGGGAAGCTAAACGTCTTCAAATTTGGAAACCAAGTCCAGTGGATTGTTTTTTTTTTTTTTTACTTTTTTGGCCCTTTTTTATGTTAGTCAGCAAGGACTGGCATGATAGATGGGGTCAGATGGACTTAAAACTCAACCATGAACCACTGGGTGGCTTTGAATGACATAGTGTCTACAAACAATGAGAAAGTTACAGGGTTACAACCAATAATCATACAAAGTCCTGTCAGCTGCTCCCTTACACAGGATTCACAGCTGGTCATTAAACCCTGTGCATTGACTTGGCAGTGTTTACACTGGATGCCCTTCCTTATGCAACTCAGAAAAATATGACTGTGTATGTGATAGTTGATTTGTTCTTTTATTCTCTACAACAGGATAGTTTCTGGGAACTGGCGATGCCTCGATCATGGTCCTGTAGCTATCAGACATGAAGCCATTTTTCGCTGTCATCCGGAGCAACTGATGAACGGACCTGGAAACATTAGCAATACACTGAAAAGAAGAGAGAGCAAGAAAGAAGACAACTTAAACGACATTGAAATAGACATCAGCAGACACATTAAGAGCATCACCATATACTTTCTTTTTGCACTGATAGCTTGAAAATATTTTGTTACTTGTGAATTTCTGTTGTGAGAAGTTTTCTCTGACCACAGAGAGACAGAACACAACACTATTTCAGAGAGTTAGTGACTACTGATAATTAAAATTAGATGTTTCTGTTTTGGACCAGACTATATAATTATATTACTTCATCTAATGCTAGACTGGTCAACTAAACAATAATTTACAGACCAAAATAAGCATTTAAAAGACAGCACAGGCATTCTAAATTCCAATATTGTACTTTTAATCTTCAATTCTTGTTATTAGCTTGGTAGGAAAAATATCTAACTTAACTGGTCTCATAAATGCATTGCTCAAACTGTTTTTATATTAAAAACATTATTTGATCTTTGCATGATTTTCATTTCCTTATTTGTGATAATAACAACAATGACATCTTTTTGGCTATAGAGCATCTTTAAAGAGATCCTGAACCTGTTAGAGCGTCTGGCCTGCAGAGAGCATCACAACTTCAGTTCTGACATGTTTGACATTAGGCTTGCAGGGATTGGTTGATGGAGTGGCCATGTAAACCAGCCAACCAACCACACTCTGTGGTGTCTCAGCACCATGTCACAAAGCCTCTGACTGCCTGCTGTAGCATCATACAGGAAGAAGAGGATTAACTTTGGTACTGTTAGCATTAGTTATGTAATGCTCAGTAAGCTGATTGAGCACAATAAAAGAGCTCAGAGGGAAATACAAGGCAGCTTTGAGGGGAGAGGAGAATTGAGATCGTGTGGGTCTATGATTTTTAAGATTTTCTTATCATCATGTTAGTTTGACATTTCCTCACAAATGTGCTTTTGTTTGCTTCATCAAAAGGTTTTTGCTCATTAGGTTTCCATCAAAGATGCAATTCAATACAATGAATTCACAGGAAAATTATTTTATATTTCCTGTATAAGCTCTGGTGGCCAGAACAGATGAGCTTGATCTGAGATTTGACGGTTGTCAGATATATAAGACCTTTGAGGTTCTGCAGATGTAACAAGTGCAGATATAAAATGTCTAACTGCAAATTTGTTTTCTTTGTTTTTTTTGCTGTGTGAATTGATGTTTCGAAATAAAAGCTTTGTGTTCAGCTGCTTCCCAGTGAATCAGAAAATCATTAAAAAGTTGTAGAAATTCATGAAAAAGGTGGAACTAGTGTTACTTATAAATTGATACTTTTCAAGGGGATTTTCTTTCTTTACACACCCAGGGCTTATGCCTACTGTAGTCCTCTGTCTGCAGCATAGGAGCTATGTGGATGACCCTTAGTGTGACAGGATATATCAGCACAGCCTGCTTCAAAGTTTAACAAGAATACATGATCTCTTCATGAGTTAAAGTCCTCACCTTTAAATTTATTAGGTTTGACAATGCAGAGCCATAGCCATCCATTACGTACGTGTAACTTCTGTTTTGACATGAAAACTGGCTCAGCTGTTCCTTTCCCAGACACAGCCCCCTGTATAGCTAGTTTACTATTAGCTTTTCTAACATAGAAACTAGTTATAGATCCGTCCTGCTATGTTCATTTCTTATGTCTGCTTCTATCTCCTTGAAACCCCAGTTGGCAACTCACACACAGCCTGATTCTGCTGGAGGTTTCTTCCTGTTGCTGTAAAAGGCAGTTCTTCCTCTCCACTGTCACTTCAAGCACGCTTGGTATGAGGGATTGCTTTCAAGTCAATAAGTCGATGCATTCAGCTGTTTTTTTCTAAAATGGAAATCTTTGAACCAATTGGTCCTGTAAAGTACCTTAAGATGACGTGTTGTGTTTTGGCGCTCTATAAACGGATTTGAATTTGTAGTCCTTTTTTCGGAAAGCTGTCATCTCATATCTTTCAGCTATATTACACACATGCACAAAAATATTCTCAACTTATATCAATCTATGTTATAAACCTTTTTATTCTGAATAAATTCCTGAAATTAATGTACTTTGTCATGAAATTCTACTTTATACATTTTATATTACATCTGCATGTAAACAAATTGTTATGCTTAAAAATAATAAAAAGCACACATGATGAAGCTTAGATTATCAGCAAACATTATTGTTTTTAAATATACTTCAATATTTTCTCAGTAATAATTATTTAATTTATTCTTTTTTGATTGTAAATTACAAAAATGAAATTATATAATTTTTGTTGTTTTTTTTTTTTTGTAAATATGATTGCACTACTAAAGGCGCCATACAGCATTTGAGATATGGCTAATTGACATTTTTATAACATGTAAATTACAGCAACCACAAGAATAATTTATATTTACCAATGGAAAATGTAGCATTCTAGACCGTGAGTGCTTTATCCAGCAGAATTTACAGAAATCAAATATTTTTAATTTCATCTGATAGGCATGTTCAAATTTACTAAAAAAAAAACAGCAAAATACACAAAGTACTGATGAAAATACAGAGTGTTTAATTTTTTTAATCAATTGGCGGGTTTTGCCAAAGCACCATAAGAAACAAAGGTGAGAAATAACCTGCTTTTATGATTATATGGATGCATTTAGGAACAGTGAAGTTTAGCATAATTAAACAATTCAAACAAAATTTCTTCATGAGAAAACTTTACACAAAAGCACACATTAGACAACAGTTTAGTATTTTTCACATTCTGTGCAAAAATCTCTTCACAGAGGGGAATGATTCACAGAGAAAAGTGGTTGAAAACAAATTGAATGTGAGCCACACAGCGTGGGGGAAGGGCGGTAAGATCCGCTGCTGCCATAAATGGGGATTAGAGATGAACTCTCAGATACTCTGAAAATACATCCACACAGCAGTGCCCTGCCTCTGCTGCAGCTGTGTCGATGACTATCCACGTTGGTGTAAAATAAAGCGCTGTAGGGAACAAATCAGCTTTGAGTCTGGAACTAAGTGGCTCAGCAAGCAAACAGAGCTGTGATTTTACTCCAAACCCTCTTTGAACATTTATAATGAGGGTTTAGGAAACATAAGTAAAAGAAAGCACTGAGATTCAACAAAACCTCCTGCAGAGAGAGATTCAAAGTCAATGCATGTAATTTTACATGACCACACTTTCTTTAGGAGTTACTTTCAACAGGAAGAGGAGGATGGATTAAACATGCACGCATACTGAATCTCTCCAACACATTTTTGTGGGCTAGCTGTGGGGAGCCATGGTCATAAAAAGCCTCCTTAAGAGCCCCAGACAACATCAGGAAGGGGATGATGGAGATATTTCACCAAACTATCAGATCATATGACTGGGCGCCACAGAAAACCACAGTATTTATTAACCAGCAATCACGTGATACAAAAGAGAAAAGACGTAACACGTTCGTTTTTGTCAGAAGCCATAACCCCCAAAACAAGTAAAAAAAAAAAAAAAAAAAGCACATGAATGGCTTTTTGGCTGGAAGATTACAGAGTAAAGGATACCAATGGGCTTTGGTCCCAGACTCGTTTTCATCCAAGTGCTTAAAAGGAGCAGACTGCTGCAGCATGCTAATCAATGGTGCTTTACATAGAAATATTGTGCTGCAGCAAAGTCTTACATTAAGTCAATTAATATGGAATTTCAGCCACATTTGAACATATTTCAGCTCAGTGTCGAGGGCATTTTCATTTATCGCATTCAAATTGATAAAATATAACATTTTAAACACATCAGTTCTGTTTTACAAAATTGACAACAGAAAGCAACCATCAACTGGACTGGTTTCCATAGGACAGTAACTCACCAGCATAGGCTTTGTTTACTTGCAGACCTGCTCTGGGCTAAAGATAAGAAACTGGCAAAACAGCTTCAATCAGCATTCACCTGACTGCCAGTTAGCACCTAAAGCCATGCACATACCTTTTGTACATTGTGGAGTCTTGTATTCAAAACAAAAACATGCAGCTTGAATGAAAAGCAACCTGAAAACATAACTGCTTTTATCCACAAAAAACGCTGCACCAATGGTGAACATATAATGACCTACATATCCAGCATTATATAAAAATAATCTGATGAGTTGAGCAGCATGGCTACTTAACATCTGACAATCTTCTACAGAAAGAATAACTTCACTAAAACCTGCATTGATTTCAATTATCTTTACAACCCCTTATTTATTTTGCAAAAAAGAAAAAAAAAAAAACAAGAATAGCACTAAAAATGTGGTTATGGATAACATGAAAACAGCTATCAAATCCACTTGCAAAGTGAGGCAGAAAAATCTACGGTTCTAACCTGCTATTAGTGCACAACATAGTACTAAACATTGAGCGAATGTAAAAAAATAAATGTTTTGGCATGGATTGCAAAACAAAAAGGTCCAAACACAGAACACTGAGATAAAAGACGCCAAAGTCTTTAATTTAGTTTTCAAGTCAGTTTGGAGTGGGGTGGACGTTTTCCACCGCTGTAATCTCGACAGTAGCTCCCAGTAAACAAAGAGCAGTCACTAAAAAGCTGCTGCCCACTTTGACCCTTATTTAGGAGCTCTCTGTCTTGCTAGTCGCTTCATAAAGCAGCAGGTTACCGTTGCAATAATGAGGATGCCGACAAACAAGGCCGATGAGATTCCTACCACCAGCGGGATGAGGAGGAGGTCTGCAGCTGGAGAAACAAGGGGGAAAAAACAAAATTAAATTTCTTTGTAAACTGATCGGAGAAAAGAAATATGCATGCTTTAGCTACATAGCTTTTCATTTGCTAGAATTATAGTTTGGATCATATAAATTAAAAATTTTGGATCTTAAGGAACTAGCTTAAGACTGTTGGCTCTTTTCACTACATTTTACAGAACTTCAGCTATAAATGTAGTGCATACAAATTTACTCTGTTTTGTCAGATTTGGATGTTTAAAGGGATAGTTCGGTATTTTTGACATGAATCTGTATGGCATCCCCATCACCAGTGTCATGCAATCACACTGACTTACCCCTGGCAGCGTCCTGTGAGCAGAGTTCTCGTCCAGTTTTGGTCAAGCCGAAAGTAGTCCGGCAGGTTTGCTAGA